CGTACTGGGATGGGTGCCCTCATACTGGTGCAGGAAGGGTTTGTACTGGGATGGTGCCCCCATACTGGTGCAGGAAGGGTCCCTACTGGGATGGGTGCCTCCATACTGGTGCAGGAAGGGTCCCTACTGGGATGGGTGCCCTCATACTGGTGCAGGAAGGGTTCATACTGGGATGGGTGCCCCCATACTGGTATAGGAAGGGTCTGTACTGGGATGGTGCCCCCATACTGGTGGTGGTTCCATACTGAAAAGCGCTCCCAATACTGGTTGGGCTCCATACTGCTGTACGCACACACCAGTGCCGACACCTGTTCCCCCCAGCGCATGCGTACTCCACCCCCAGCTCTGCGCAGCACATACGCATGCGCGAGAAGGGCCGCGTCTGCTGCGCAAAGCGCATGCGCGCACAGACACGTGTCCTCAGAACGCGGGACCCCCCGCGTGGTTGCGGCGCATGCGCAGTGCGGGACACGCCCCTCAGCCCCACCCAAAAGGCAGGGCAGTGCGCACCGCCCTAACGCTGTGCGGCGCATGCGCACTGAGGAAGCGGCACACCCGGGCGGGGCGCCGCGTTTCGTCACCGCGGGAGCGGCGCCCTCCTCAGGCCCCGCCCATTACCCCGCGGGTGGGGCGGTGACGCAGCGCCTTCTCTCCTACGCGCATTGGGCGGAGCGTCAGCGAGGGGGGCGGGGCTTGCGGACACCGCCTTTTCCTTCCGCCCTGCGCCGGAAGTGGAGGGGTGGGGCGAGGGTGAGGCGTCGTCGTCATAGCAACGGCGGCTGCGTGGTCTTGAGGCCATTCGGCTGCGGTGGGTGCGGGGGGCTGCGCTGGGCCGTGGTCTTTTGGGGTCTTTGTGTGGCGGTCCTTTGGGCTCGTTTGAGTGAGAGCAGTGCTTTTTGTGGGTGTTGTTGAAAGGGGGTTTGTCTCTGAGGGGGCTGTCCATGGGTGGGCCTTTGTGGGAGGGCCTTTGTGGGAGAGCTTTGGGTTTGGTTTTTTTTGAGGGGGCAGCGTTTAGGAACGTTTGGCTCCTCGGGAAACGTTTGGGGCAGCACTGGGCGTCTCTGTGGGGTTTCTGAGGGGGTTTGAGGCCCTCTGTGTGGAGGTGTCTCTGCTGGGGGGGGCTCTGTGGGGCTGATCCTGGGGGGGGCATTCCCAGTGTGCTGGGAAGGACCCTGTGGTGGGGGATGGGCACCTGAGGGTGGGAGCTTTTCAGATAGGAGAGAGCTGAGAAAGTATGGGGCTGTGTGTGAGGGTCTGTAATGGGTTTTGGGGGGGTTGTTCCCCTCCTGCCTGTGGTTCAAAGTGGGGTTTCTCTGTCTGCCACAAAACGCACTGAATTCTCTGCTGCTGTCTGTGCAGCTTTTCTTCTACAGCTGCTATGGGTTCTGCACTTTCTCTGTCTGCTGACAGTGCTGCCTCCAGGCGGAGGAGGAAGGCTGATGCAGATGATGATGGTGATGATGATTTACTCGATAGCCGAGACCGCAATGAGGACATTGCCAAATTTCCATACGTTGAATTCACGGGTCAGGACAGCATCACCTGCCCCACTTGCCAAGGCACTGGCTGCATTCCCACAGGTGGGTGGTTTTTTTTGTCCTTAGCACAAAAAGCAGGGTGCTGCAATGTTCCTTATTTACTTAAAAGGTTTGGCAATCATATGGAGTTGGTCACTGTGTTCTTTCTGCTTTCCAGAACAGGTAAATGAGTTGGTGGCTTTGATACCCTACAGCGACCAGAGGCTCCGTCCACAGAGGACGTAAGTGCGTAGTAGGAGCATAATTAAACCTCTGCAAAGAGCAGACAGTGCTCTTCTGTCAGTGACTGCCACAGCTCAGAGCTTTATGCAGTCTGCAGCTTTTCCTTCGTCTCATGCCTTGTTTTCACTGAAGTATGCCAACAAATACAACTTAAACTTTCACTTTAAATATTTGCTGTTAAGTCCCATCGTAGGAGTGAATGTGGAAACAGTCATCCCACTCACACACTTTGTTTTTGTGCTCTTTACAGAAGCTTTTAGAAAGCAACTGCGTTCCCAACAGCACCATTAGTAGATTCTCAGAATGCTTTGGGGGAAAGAAAGATTGTTTGGTTACTCATTACCGAAAAGTGAGCTGTGTAAAGGGTGGTGTTTTGAGCAATTTCAGATACGAAAAATGTTAAAGCAGCACTTCTAGTCTCTTTTAGGGAAGAGCAGATGTGCTTGGTTTTGCTGACAAGTTTGGGTTTCGGATACAAGATGTCTTGCAGTTGCAGATGCTGTGTTAGGGCAAAGGCTGTGACCCATTTCCCGTCTGTTCCAGGAAGCTCTATGTCCTCCTGTCGGTGCTGCTCTGCCTTCTGATCTCAGGGTTGGTCGTTTTCTTCCTCTTTCCACACTCTGTGCTGGTGGATGATGGAGGCATTAAGGTGGTTCAAGTGTGGTTCGACAGGAAGAACTCTGTTGTCCTTCTTGCCATCACGGTAAAGTTTTTGTGCATCCCTGTTCTTGAGGGACAGATCCTGTGCTGAGCTGCCAGGAATGTTATTGCTACCTGTGTCTCCCTGCTGTCCTTCCAGGCCACTTTACGGATCAGGAATTCCAACTTCTACTCAGTGACAGTGGACAGTCTGACTAGTCAGGTGCAGTACATGAACACCGTGGTGGGCAGCCAGCAGATCACCAACATCTCCAGCATCCAGCCACTAAGTGACAAGCTGGTATTTGTCTTTATTTGCCTTTGCAATGTGTATTGTAAGCATCACTAAATCATGTGTGGAACTGGTGTGGTATCTCAAGCTGACTTGAGGGCACTGTATCTGTGCCTTGAAGGTTTGCTTAGCAAATAGTCTCTTGGCTATGCTCTTTGCACAGCAGCTGAAATGCAGTGTAATGCAGGAAATACTCTGACGGGGTGTTTTGAAGCGAGTAACCAAACTGCAAGTGAATGTATTTTTGTCTTACAGGTGAATTTCACAGTGAAGGCGGAGATGGGAGGACCTTTCTCCTATGTGTAGTAAGGATTTACTGGTTTTTGTGTATAGTAGGTTTGAGCTGCTTTAGTTATTGCTTGCTTTGGAAATGACTTGCTTTCTGCTAACTTTCTGGAAAACAACCATTTGCTAGAAATGACTTGAAAGGCCACTTTATCAGGATGTTGTGTTGGGGTTTTGGATGTTGAGTTATCATCAGAGGTAGAACTACATCAGAAGATTCCAAGAAGTGCAGTCATTTCTGCTAAGCTGCTTAGCCTGTGCTGACCACTTTCTCTCTTTTGATCTCTTCCAGTTTCTTTTGCACATTTCCCAAGGTGAAGGTGCATAATATAGTCATCTTCATGAGGTAGGTTTAGCTCTGCTCCTGACTCAAAATGGAACTGGTGCCACAGCAAGTCTGGGGCACACAGAGAAAATTGTGCTCAGCAAACAACCCAGCCTGGTTCACTGTGTCAGCTTTAATCCAGGCCGGGTGGCACAGGCAGGTAAAATGTAAGATAGAGTGGAAGAGAAGATGCCAGATGGCTCTGAATGGAGCTTCTACATGATGGATGCTGTGTTCTGGGGTTTGGCTCAGCAGCTCTGCTCACCACTGCTCTCTGCGGTGAGCACTCCTGGGTAGGTTTGCTAAACCTGAGAAAATCCCTTGTTTTAGAGGGGGCACTTATGAGATGACCATGAAGCTCACTGATTGCATTTAATAGAGGGATCTACCCCTGGCCCTGTCCCCACTGAGCTGCTCTCCTTTCTCTCAGGACGTCGGTGAAGCTCTCCTACATCGGCCGCAGGACGCAGAGCTCTGTGGAAACGTACCACTACATCGACTGCAGCACCAACTCCACGGCTGACCTGCCCCCTCTGCCGGCCCCCTCCGGGCACGGCGTGGCTCTGAGCAAAGCCTGAGCTCACTGCTGTGTTCTGAGGGTGGTGATGGTGCAGATGGATTTCCCTGGTGAAATATGAAATGCGTAGCTGTAGAAAAAGAACTTTGAAATGGAAGCAGAAGGACTGCGAGTGACTTTAGGAGAGACTTGAAGGCTCTGGGTCCCTTTTGCACTTTGCCACCTGCAGCTGGGCTGCACTGCTGGCCTGTCCCTGACATCCTTGATGTTTATGTACAAGCCTCCAGGTCCCTTCCAAAGTGAGAGGCCTGACTTCCTTTTGAATTCTTTAACTGTTTTTTTGTGTGTGTGTGTGGAACTGAGGATTTGAGCTCTGTGCTTTGGGGTCCAAGGATCTCAGAGATTTAGATTGAAGTTTTGAAGTTTAACACTCTGCTCCTTTCAGGGCAAACTAGCTAGTTCTGTGTGATTTATCCCAACTTTGTTTGGTGGCAGCCTGTTACTGGCATCTTTCAGAGCAGAACTTGATAAAAAGGGATAATCCTCTGCCAGGAATGCACGGATGAGGTGTTCAGGCTTTCACCTGTGTAACTTGCACTAGTAGGAGGAAAGGGAATTGAAACCACCAAAATGTTTTCTCCTTTGCTGGCAGCTGAAGCTGCTTCCAGAGACCCGATACCAAAACACCCGTCTTAATGAGGACAGCCTCATTAAGCAGGGTGCTGTTGGTGTGGGGAAGGGTCCCTGTGGCTTTGACCCTCTGATCCGCGCTGCTTGGGGCGTGTGGCATTCAGCAGCTGTGAGTTCCCTGGTGTTGAACCCAGGGCAGGTGCAGCTCAGTGCTGCTTTGTGTTTGTGCCTGCTGCGAGTGAGCGCAGACCTGAACTGATTTTGTTGAAGATTGGGGAGTTTTGTGTTTCAAAGACTCACCTCTCCGGAGCCGATCGTTCCCAAAGGATGGCAAAGCAAACAAACCTGATGCTGCAGTTCAGCAGGCTGCAGTTCTGCGGTCTGTTTGCTGTGTTTGCAGCTTGGAGAACTTTGTTCTGCTTTTGCCCTTTCTAGTTTTTCTGGAACCACATCACTGCAGCCTCCTGTGTTTCCTCTGTGCGCACCCTATGCTGTTCTCCATCCATCTCTATGTGGAAACAAAGTGGCCAAAGGGAAGTGGCTCTGGTGTTTTTTCAATGAAGGAGGCTTTCTTTTGTGCAAGTGTGAAATAAAAATGCCCTTTGTTTTTTTTAAGAGGTGGAGTGTCTTCCCAGCAGAGCTTCTGGAGCTGAAGTCTGCCTATTAAAGGAGGGCTGTGTGCTGAGTGGTGTCTTTACCTGGAAACTGAGGAAATACTGTGTCTGCGTCCTGTGGAAATCAACCTTTTGTCCCAGAGGGAGTGCTCAGTGTTGTGACTGGCATCGTGTCACCTTTTGCCTGAATGCCCCTTGTCTCCTGCTGGTGATTTGGGGGAATGAGGGCTGAAATCCTCTCCAGCAGAGCAGCCCTCCCAGCACCTCCGTTCCCACGCAGGGTTTGGGTTCATGGACCTCAGCTCTGCAGCTGTCACTGCACCATCCCCATCTCATCACGAGCTCCTCACACTGTGCTGATAAACCCCTATCAGCATCTAACTCTGCTGAGTTGAATTTTCTGTAAGGAAGCTGTAGGAGTCACACGCTCTGCCCTTCCTCGTCCTGCTGGCTGAGCTTCCTGATGGCCCCCAACCCTTTGCTGTGGTGCTTTGGCTGCAGATAACAGATGCTCTCCTGCTCCCTGGGGTCAGGTCCTAAAAGCAGAGCTGCTTTTACCTGGTGAGGGAGAGCTCAGAGGGCTGCCTGTGGGATCCCCCATCCTGCTGCTTATCCGAGCAAGGGAAACAGCTTTTGGGACATGGAGAGCCCTGGTAATTGGGGGTGCCCTCTGGGTCATGTGGCACTTGGCCTTATAAAGGGCGTTTATTTTGGAAAATCCTTCTTAATCCCCCAATCCTTTCTAATGAATTTCTTCTGCCAATGTTTCTTGCAGCTCCCAGCCCTGGAAAGCTGCCTCAGGTGCTTTGGCTGCAGCATTGCCAGCTGCCAGCACTTAAAACTGAGACCAGGGCCCCAAAGTAGCATTTCTTTAAAGGGGTTTTTAATCCTTTCAAGTCATAATTTCTCTTAATGAAGGACTGCTATCAGCTGGTGCAAAAAGCTGACCCTGTAACAGCAGTGCTGTGGTGAAACCTGTGGGCCAGCAGCTCTCATGGGGTCACTGGGCTAATTTTCTTGAAGATAGTTAAAAACAATTAAACTACTGGGGCTTTCCCTCTAATTAACAAGCTGCTCAAGAGCAGCATTTACATATGTCGTGTTTTAATAAAGCTTAAAGGCAGAGCTGCTTCATTACAAGGAGTCCATGTGTGCACCCCATGGCCATGAACTCTTCCACTTGCAGTTCTGCAGAATCTGCCCTTAAATTATCTTTACATGTGCACAAAACGGGACACGAGGAAGGAATGTCAGAAGGATTTTCTTTTCTTTGTCTGAAGAATTTGTTTAGTTATGGTTTCTTCCCTTTTCCATCTCTCTTAACCCATAAGTCTTGAGATCTGACCCCAAACCCTTAAGGGGGGGGAGAAGGGAAGAGGTTGCACAGCAAACAAACACAAGAAGGACCCGCACAGCTGCTTTTACTTTCCACCAAAAGTTTTTTTTTGTTTTTTTTTTTTTTGTTTTTATATCAACTGATGTTAAAAAATACAGACTTGTTTTACAAGAATAGCACCATTTCTGTTGTATGATACATTAGCACTCCTGCTGTGATACACGGGGAGGGGAGGGGATTCGCGATACCTGCGTTTGCCAGATCCCTTTGTGGGAAGGGGCCATCATACCTGCCAGATCGATTCCCACCTCCACCCGACCTAAAAAAATAGGCCTTCCAGGAAGGCAATAAATAAATAAGCCCATGGTTTTATGTCGCAGTCTGCCCGGTGACGGCGCTGGAGGGTCCCGAAGGGGAGCACGGGGTCGTGCCATCCGTTCAGTGCAGAAGTTGTGATGGGAACGTACGGGTCCTCGGGGTGGGATTGGTTTGATTTTATGGTATTGGGCTGGATTCCTTTTTTTTTTTTTTGTAAAAAACAAAACAAAACAAAAAAACCAACAAACAAACAAACAACAAACACACAAATAAAACAACTCTTTTTACAAGAAGCAGACTGGGCCAATATCCACGCCAAACTCCTGCTCGGCTCCGCCAATGTCCATAGGTGCAATATCTACAATGGGCAGGCGCGAGGTCTTCTGCGACCGGTACTCGATGACAGTCTTGCCCCATTTGCCAGTGTGTTTCTGGGGAGAAAAGGAGGGCAGGGATGCTGTCAGCTGCTCCGACCCCATCCCCACAGCCTCAACCCCACCTCCCCATCTACACCTTTCTTTTGTAGGCGCCCAGCAACCTACCGTGCAGCCGTCCTCCAAGACGCTGTAGGTGAACCTGCTGTTGCCCTCAGCTCTGATCTCCACGTCGTTGGATCCCTGGATGAGGATGGCTTTCTTCAGGTTGCCCGTCTCCTCGTCCATGTAGGCGATGCTGTTCTTGCAGTGGTAGGTGACGTTCTGGGAGCCCTCGGTGGACAGGAGGCGCAGGAAGGTCATCTGGATGCTGGCGGTGTTGGGGGACAGGTTCTCATCGCCGTAGCTAAACTGGAGGCAAGAGGTGAGGAGTTAAAGCCTGCAGGCATCACGACCACCTTAGTCGCAGGAGCTTTTTGGGAAGATTTCCATACTTCAGGTTCCCAGCTGGCTGAAAAAAATCATGGAATGGTTTGGATTGGAAGGATCCTTAATGATCGTAAAACCAATAGAATAGCAGAATAGTTGGGTTACAATGGTCCTTAAAGATCACAGAACCATGGAATGGCTGGGTTTGGAAAGGTCCTTAAAGCCCACCCATGAGCTAGTTGCCCCCTGTACACCAGGACACGCAGGATCTGACCCAAAACCCAAACTCAATGCCTGAGAGCATTTTCCCAATGCTCCTTGAGCTCCAGCATCTCGGGGCTGTTCCATGCCCAACACCCTCTGGGGCAGAACTTTTTCCTACCACTGCTGTAGGGCCATAAGGGGTCATAAAGGGCTTTAGGGCCGTGAGGCCTCTCTTCATCCTCATCTTTTCTGGGCCAAACAGAGGGAGCTCAGCTGCCCCATCCCATCCTCTTCCTTTGATTTGTGAAGCTAAACTGACCCAACTCTATGCCTTCAAAATCACCCTCTAAAACTTCACTAAAATCCATCAACATAACTTCAAGGAAGGACATCCCAGGTGGGATCAATCCTCCAAAAGGACGCCCAGGGGGACACTTACGTGGAAACCGCCGTTGATGGTCTCTGCAAACCAGATGTGCTTCTTGTCCTTTGTCTTGCTGGTCCACCAGTTCTTCTTGGGGATGCTGCTGGGGGTCGGGTAGACGCAGGTCTCGCCCGTCTCCATGTTGCAGAAAACTTTGATGGCATCCAAGGTGCAGCCCTGGTTCGGGTCAATCCAGTAATCTCCTGCAGCGGGGAGGACAAATGGAATGTTCATGGGGTTGGGGAAGTCTAGGAGTCATTAAGACCTCAAAGATCACCTCAAAGTCCACCCAGCACCACCATGCCCACCGATAGAAGCACAGAGTCATTACGACTGGAAAAGACCTCTAAGATAGGTCCAACTGCTGCCTCATCCCCACCAAGCCACATTCCCAAGTGCCACATCTCAACAGCTCCCCAACACATCTGGGGACAGCGACTGCCCCACCTCCCTGCGCAGCCCAGTCTGGTGCCCAACCACTTTTACGGAGCAGAAACCTTTCCTAACATCCCACCTGACTGCAAGGATGCTGGGGATGCTCTTCTTTAGGGAGGAGGGGAGGATGGGAGAGGCAGACACGGAGCTCTTACCGCTCTTCCAGTCGGGATGGCAGAGTTTGATGTCACGGCAAGTCCTGGCTGGGTTCTTCTTGGAACCCTCGGGGCTGCGGATGCTCTCGATCTGATTGTTGAGGGATTTGAGCGTGGCGTCCACCTCCACGTCGTGCTGCCGCAGCCCTCCTGCCGCCTCGTCTGCCCTCATGTAGCGGATGGGGTCGGGACCCTTCTCTGTCTGACCCAGTCCAGCAAAAGCTGACATGTCGATGCCGGTGCCCGGAGGACCGGGAGGACCGGGAGGACCGGGGTTTCCAGGAGGACCCTATGGGAGAAGGAAGCGATGCTGACGGGCTGCTCTGTGAGCTGGACTCCATTCCCTGCCTCCCCACACTGGGACTCACCGCAGGGCCAGGTTCACCACTCCGTCCACGGGGACCAGGAGGACCGATGGGGCCGGGCATGCCATTGGAGCCATCTTTGCCAGAGGGGCCAACGGGACCAGGGGGACCCTAGGAGAGAGCCCCAAAATGGGGGTTGAAGGCATTGCGAGACCTCAGGGCAGGGAAGACGATGGGGAGCTGTTAACTCCTGGTGCTAACGAGCAATCAGGAGCTAACAGAGGCTGCAGGTGCCCAGGGAGGGCACTGCTGCTCCTTCCCCTTTCACCACCCCAAACACCACTGCCAGGACTTACTCTGGGACCGGAGGGACCAGCGGGACCGGCAGCACCTTGGTCTCCAGAAGGGCCCTGAGGAGGAAGCCAGGGTGGTCACAGCTCTGTGGTCAGCACATCAACCCCTGCCAGAGCCTCGGTGGCCACAGAGACCCCAAAGGAGCCGCATCCTACAGGGGGGCTCAGCGCTCCCCAAATCAACTTACAGGTGGTCCGGGCAGACCCTGCAGACCGGTGAAGCCGCGGTGGCCCTTCAGCCCTCTCTCTCCAGCCTCTCCTGTCTCACCTTTGTCACCACGAGGCCCTTGGGGACCCTGAAGTGGGGACAGGACCGTGTTGGGCTCAGGGTGGGCAGAGCCCTGCCCGGCACACAGCACCCCACACTTTGCACGTGGGATGTGCTGATGTGCTCAGCATCACTCACCGGCATTCCTCGAGCTCCAGCGGGACCAGAGGGACCCATGGGCCCTTGTGCACCCTGCAGGGAGAAAAAAAAGGACATCAGAAGGTGACAGCGACCTGAAACACCCCCTTAAAGCCATGAATTTGGGATTTCAGGGGTGTCTGAATCAGTCCCTCCCACCATACCCCAAATCCAAGCAACAGTGACAATCAGCAGCTGTCTGTGCCTCAAAGCATCTTTAAATGCTCTCAGCTGGAGCACTGGAGCAAGGAACAAACCTCGAGGGGAATCACAGCAGATTTTCAGCCATAATGAGACCCTAAACCCTAAACCCTCACGCAGCACTCACCGTCTCGCCTCTGTCTCCTTGTTTTCCAGTGGGACCAACGGGACCAGGAGCACCGGGGGCTCCAGGAGCACCAGGGGCACCCACAGGGCCGGTCTCACCACGATCACCCTGTGAGCAGAGGGTGGGAAGGTCAGATCTGTGCAAAGCCCCATGGCTTTTGGCACAGGGATAGAGAGCGCTCATGGGGCGCGCGTGGCAAGCTCACCTTCACACCAGCTGCACCATCCCTGCCAGGGGGTCCGTCAGCACCAGGGTTGCCCTAGGAGGAAAAGAGGATGTTTTAACCCTGGGGTGGAGCAGCATTTGTGCAAAGTCTCCTTTCAATGCTGGAGAAAAGACACCAGGGAGCTCCAGGAGCTGAGTTGTGCCATGAGGTCGGTGATGCCCAGTGCTGGTGTGATGATGCTGGGGTTTTGCTCACCTCACGCCCAGGTTCTCCAGCAGGACCTGTCAGCCCAGGGGGACCCACGGGGCCAGGGGGACCTCGGTCGCCTGCAGAGCCAGGAGCTCCTTGCTTTCCAGGTTCTCCCTGAAAGAGGGCAAAAAAGTGCATGAGTGGGAGAGACCCCAGCGCAATCCCTTCTCCATTTTTTATGGCTCCCAAACCCCTCTGCAACAATTAACCACCAATGATTTTCCTGCCCCAGCTTTAAGCCTTGCACCAGCGGCTCCTGGTGGGGAAAAGGAGCTTTGCAAAACCCCAAACCATCTGGAAACGGTGTCTCCACAGGCTGCACCAAGGGGCTGGAGGTCCCTGAGATGGGCTCCAGAGCATTGCAACCCCCACATATCTGCAGCCCCCACATATCTGCAACCCCCACATATCTGCAACCCATAGGATTCAGTGCATCCAAATGAGAGTGACCCACTCACCGATGGCCCTGGCAGTCCGGGGAAGCCTCTCTCACCACGCTGTCCTGGGAGACCCACGATACCACGCTGTCCTGCCAAGCCTTGAGGCCCGGGGGGGCCGTCGGGACCCTGCAGGGCAGCAGAGAGGGGGATCAGACCCAGAACAATGGCACCATGCAGTCAGGGGGTGCACAGAGGGAGGAGACCCCCGAAATCCTCACCGCGGGGCCGTCCTCGCCGGGTTCGCCCTTCTCGCCAGGGGGGCCAGCAGGGCCTTGGAGGCCAGGGTCTCCAGCACGGCCAGGGGGGCCAGCATCACCACGAACACCCTTGGGGCCATCTTTGCCAGCAGAGCCAGGGGGTCCAGGTGGGCCTGGGTTACCCTAAAGGGAAGGAAAGCAGCGTTGGTGCAAACCAGAGGTGGCCAATCTTCATCACCTACATCACAGCGCTGCTTGGTTGGGGAGCTCTTTTCCTTAGAAAAGCTCTTTTCTATCATTGGAATGGCCAAAAGCATCAAAGAGCTGAGGAAGAAAACCCCAGATGCCTGTGTAGGGACACAGTGCCCCCTCCAACACGCAGCACAGGGAAGCAGCACCCAAACCCCAGGTGGGGGCAACCCCAGAACCCCCCCAGACTCACATTAGGGCCAGGTGGGGGCAACCCCAGAACCCCCCCCTAGACTCACATTAGGGCCAGGTGGGGGCAATCCCAGAATCCCCCCAGACTCACATTAGGGCCAGGAGGTCCCACGCGGCCGGCGGCTCCGGGGAATCCCGTGGCTCCCTGGGGAGGGAATCAGAGAATCACAGTGAACAGAGGGAGAGAAGAAACAAGGCTCAGACACAACTCAGCCCCACGGTCACCCCCTCCCCATCCTGCAGCCCACCCCTCTGGTACTCACAGGGGGACCCTGAGCCCCACGAGCTCCTTTGGGACCAGTGACGCCAGTTGGACCCTGGGAAGGAGAGAAAAACA